ATAGGTAAGGGGGAGTAGATGCGATAGGCAACAATAAACTTCAGAAGAACTCAAAAGTGATCACTGCATTTAAGTATTACATTAATATTTAAGCTTACCTTTTAAAAGTTTAACAATATTTCTTCTGCCAACACTTAATTAAAGACAGTTTGATGTACATAGGTCCTTACTTCCTGTACAAACAATTATTTTTATTTTGTGGGTGACTTTCACTGGATTTTGCAATTAATTTCAGTTATTCCTAAATTTATTTCCAATTTATAAAAATTATGGTACAAAATATTTGTCATGAAAAATCATATAAAAAAAAAATCACCAAAAACAATTGCAGAAAGGAAAATTTGAAAATACAAAATTTCAGGATTGCAGGTTTGGATCTGGATCCAGCCAAGAATATTTTTAATTTGCTCGTGGAGTTGGCCTCATTCCAAAATGGTATGATATGTTTGTTGGGCAATGGCTTCTAGGAGTAAAGTTGAAAAGGTGTGACACACTGACATTCGCATTTATTATATATATATATATATATATATATATATATATATATATATATATAGGGTGTCCATAAAGTTCGTGTGCACTTTAACAAATTTATAACTTAATTTGTATTTGCGATTGAAATAATCTGTAAAAAAATGTTATAAAGTTTAATTAATCTAGTTTTAAGTATAGTTATTGAATAATTCTTTACCACAAAATTTGCAATAATTTTTAGATAAGTAAAAAAATATTTTCTTTTTTCCAGAATCAATTTGATCCATGGCTTCAACTGAGGAAAAAGTAAAATGTGTCCTTTGGTTGGCTGAACTGAAATCTACTATTGATGTACAACAAAAGTTTAGAATTGAATACAATAAAGAACCACCTCATAGGAACACTATTGCTGAATGGATGAAAAAATTTAAAGAGACAGGCTCCATCCATGATAAGCCACGGTCTGGAAGGTCGTGTATCAGCGATGAAAGTGTTGCATCCATAGAAAAATCCTTTACAGCAAGTGCAAGAAAGTCTGTAAGACGTACATCATTAGAGCTCAAGCTCCCAAAGTCTAGTGTGCATAAGATTCTGCGGGCACACACACACCAAAAGAGTAAAAAAATATGAATTCATATAATTTCTTACAATATTTAAATAGTCCTTTTTGCTTGTATCTGATAGGCAGGAAGATTTTATGTCAAAAACTAAAAAAAATTTTGTGACTAGAAACATAATATAACAGGTGTTAAGACTTAAATTAATGTGGGTGAAATATATTAAAACTCAGAATGTCACCTCATTTTATAGGCAGAGGGCTTGTCTTTAAGGTATTGTCAGAATATATATATATATGAAATTATAGATATTGTATCACCTGCTGATGAACAATAAATTTTTTCATTTGTTTCAAATTTATTCAAACAATATAACCTTTTGTATTCTTTTTTAAACAAACAATACAATGGTAGTTACACCTAATAATGTCAAGGTGAATCAGGTAGTTGTCTCTGTGTGAAAATCAAGTAAATTTGTTTTGTTTCTTCCTTTAGACTCCTTGTAGAGGTGACAACAACAACTGCACAAGGAGATGCTGCTAAAATTACAATAGCGTGTCAATTCTTTATGCCTTGGAAAAGGAATGAAACCACCTCTCCCTTTGTTATATGAATGGCCTTGGGAAAGGAATGAAACCACCTCTCCCTTCATTCTATGAATTACCTTGGGAAAGGAATGGAACTATCTCTCCCTTCATTCTATGAATGGCCTTGGGAAAGGAATGAAACCACCTCTCCCTTAATTATATGAATTACCTTGGAAAAGGAATGAAACCACCTCTCCCTTCATTCAATAAATGCCTTGGAAAAGGAATGGAACTATCTCTCCCTTCATTCAATGAATGGCCTTGAAAAGGTAATGAAACCACCTCTCCCCTTGTTATATGAATGGCCTTTGGAAAGGAATGAAACCACCGCTCCCTTCATTCTATGAATTACCTTGGGAAAGAAATGTAACCACCTTTTCCTTTCATTCAATGAATGGCCTTGGAAAAGGAAAATGAAATCACCTCTCCTTAATTATATGAATGGCCCTTGGGGAAAGAAATTACCTTGGAAAAGGAATGTAACCACCTTTTCCTTTCATTCAATGAATGGCCTTGGAAAAGGAATGAAATCACCTCTCCCTTAATTATATGAATTACCTTGGAAAAGGAATGTAACCACCTTTTCCTTTCATTAAATGAATGGCCTTGGAAAAGGAATGAAATCACCTCTCCCTTCATTTTCATTCAATGAATGGCCTTGGAAAAGGAATGAAATCACCTCTCCCTTAATTATACTTTACCTTCATTCTATTAAATGAATGGCCTTGGAAAATGAATGAAATCACCTCTCCCTTAATTATATGAATGGCCTTGGGAAAGAAATGAAACCACCTCTCCCTTCATTCTATGAATTACCTTGGGAAAGGAATGGAACCATCTCTCCCTTCATTCAATGAATGGCCTTGGAAAAGGAATGAAACTACCTCTCTCTTCATTCTATGAATGACCTTGGAAAAGGTATGAAACCACCTCTCCCTTCATTCTACATATGGCCTTTGGAAATCCATGAACTCATCTTTCCTTTCATTCTATATATGTAATAATTGAAGTTAGAAGTATTTTTGTACTGAAAACTAAACATTATTAGAACAAAAAATGTGCCAGTTGGTATCTTGTGGAAATTAGCACCATGAAAAATGCTCTTTTTCTTGTTATATGATCTTCTTTGAGTTGTGGCATATGTCTATAATCCTGTCCCTTAAATGAACCCTGTTTTAGGCTTTGGTCCATAAGAGACCTCACTTTTTCGGTCATGTCTTCAATTTTCTTGACCAAATGATTTTTGGCCTGTTTCATTTTCTCTTCCCAATTTGGTTCCACCGCAAGGAAACATTAATCATTTTTTAACTGAATATCCCTATGACATGACCAAGCCATCATAACCTATGTTTCAAAATCCAAAAGAAGGTTCTGTAATGTTACTGGTCCTGACCTGGCATCTCAACTTCATTCACTTTCCCACTACTGTGATGTGATATCCTTGTGTCTTTTCTATAAATATTTTCATGGCAGTTCTATTTCCCTACCCCAACAGATAAATGAATTGTATATATGGGGACTAGTTAAGACTTTCATAGAGACATTGCGGTATTATGGTGGATGTAGTAAGAAAAGTAAGTAAGAATGCGTTGTTGTGGTCTAAGGAATATTATTGTATGTTTGGGTCAGTGTTTGTAGCTAGCTAAGTTTGATATTAAGACAGAAGAAGACAGTCATTTTCCCCATTACCCATTTTTGGCCTTGTGCCACATTTTCTGTATTTGAAGTGGAAATAAATATCGCTCTCCTCTTTGGTATTTTGATCATATCAATTTAGACATACTACTAGATTGGCTATTAGGTCCCATAATTTTATTCTTGAAATAGCTAGATGTAACCATAAGTTATATTATAATAGTTTCTTTTTTCACACTTCTCACCTGTTGAACTCTCTTCTGGTTTCTTGCTTTTCTGCCACCTACAATTCCCAAAAATTTAAATGCAACATCAATTGCCATCTTCTGCCTTCCTGAATCCTGTTCTTTTATTGTCCTTTCTCCTCATTAAAGTCTTCTCATTCTCTTTCACTCCCAGTAACCCCTTGCGTCTTGATGGCATTATCACCTTGCTTAGGGTGAAATGATTAAAAATTTATTAAAAAAGAATTTAAATTTTGTGATTGTTTATCAATATTTTTCATTTATACATTTATAATGTCAAGGAGCAACAGTGGAGTAATGGATAGCAGCTTAGAGAGCTGATTTCAAATTTCAATTGAACCTTACATTCACTTATGTGCTGATACACTTGGGAAAGGTATGAATCCTCTTCTTTTAGCTATGGGTAAATAACAGGACAGACTGGGTTCTATAGCTTTGGATGGCAACTAGTCTATTGCAAAAAGAAATGGCAACCTACTGCGGAAAAAAACTTGCCTCATCGGTCATGTAATGAAAGATACATGATCGCCTAAGCATGTATCACGCATGGCACATAACTGACTGAATATATGGATGTTAGAATGTAGAATAATATGTGGACAAAAGGGGAGATTATGAGATAAAGTGGAAAAACATGTTCAAACAGTGTGCTTCACCTACTTATGGTAGGCATCTTCAGCCCAGACTGAATAGATTTTTTTACTTTTGCTCATTATCTTTATTTATAATGTATGCCATTCCATCAATAAGTTCATAGCTCATTGAAGAAAAAAATCATTAATTTACACAATTTACTCTTCAACATAATCTCATTCCTTGTAAATGCACTCAATTGAGTAAGAACAAATAAAACATATGAGGAAAATTTCAGATTAAAATTAATAACTATTAGTCAAACTAGATCAGTGGTTCCCAAATGGTGCAGTGCACCTCATAGGTGTGGTGGAAGAGGATAGCAAGTGAGGCAGAAAGGCAATCAAAGATTTAGAAACAGTTTCAAAAAATTCATTTGCCAGAAATAAATGATTTCAAAATTTAAAATATTATTAAGTATTTCTTTTAATTGCATGCATAAGTCCCTGTATAAATAGTTATAAATAATTATTGACCGATTTTATCACTGATATTTTTGCATTATATCAAGTATTAAGAATATAGTAACTAGTGTCTGCAAATTGGAGGAGAAAGTTATCAATGATAATGTTTTGACTTCAAATCCACGGTTATCTCCCTTTATTTAAAAATAACAAGAAAAGAGAGTGCTCTTTTCTTGTTATTTTTAAATGTACATTTTATCACAAAATTTGATGAGGTGTGAGCAAATTTTCATTCCAGAAATGCAGCACAGAAAAAAAAAGTTTTGGGAACCACTGAACTAGATACTTGTAGATCCACCTTCACAAACACATCACAGAACTTCTGCTTTATAGAGAAATTTTTTAAAGTTTTAGATGACTATTTTTGCTATCTTCCTCAAAATCCTCTGGCTTACAGCCACATTACATTGAAATATCGGTTCTCAAACGATCACCAAAGTTAAGCAATGTCAAGCTTGGCCTGTACCAAGATAGGTGACTGCTTGGGAATACCAAGTGCTGTAAGCTTTGATGTGTGAGTGGTGTAATGGATAATGGCTTGGAATTGTTAATTGGAGAGCCAAGTTCCAATTCTGATCAAGATCATTATATTAACTTGTGTGCAAATACCCTTGGAAAAAGTATGAATCGACTTCTCCACCCAACTATGGATTAATTTAGTAAGACTCGTATCACTAAATCATTAAAAAATTCTTACAATGTAAAAAAAATTTTTCTGGCTTTAAATAACCTGAAAAGGGTTGATAAGCGGTAGAAAATGAATGAATCAATCAATCAATGAAATACTGATTAGCTACATAGACATGTCTTTTAGATTTATTTACATTCTCTGGAAGATAAATGTATAGAAACTATGACGACCACAAAGTGTGGGATCAATTTATATATTGATTGTAACATAGAACTGATCCTCCACTTTATATCTACATTATAATTTTTGTTTGTTAATCAAATTCTGATTAGATATGAATTTACCTCTTCTACCCCCAGCTATGGGTTAATTAGTAAGTAAAACTTGTATCACTAAGTCATTATTACCTAAAAAAATTCTTAAAATCTAAAAATATTTTCTGGCTTTAAATAACTGCAAAAGGTTGATATAGAAAACGAATTAATGAAAGTCCTCTTGGAACTTTAGCAGTATTGTTGGAGATTGCTCACATAAGTATTATATGAATGATTAATAATGACAAAGAGATTTGAATTCAACAGTTGCCTGTTTTCCACGGCTGTGAGTGTTCAAACCAAGAATATAAAGTAGGATTCTCACTGTTTTTAAAGGTAAGCAAAGGTTGTCTCAGTACAATCTTTATACTTCTATTTTTCCATATTTAGCCTTGAATTTTATTAATCTTTGTTTTATAAAAATATTAGTAATGATAAAAAGAACATTAAACTTGTTTTGTACTTGGTTTAGATTGTCTCATCTATCAAAAGTCAGTTATTTGACTATCAAAATGTTTTCAAGAGAAACTAATAAAATTCAAGCTCATAACTTAAAACTTGTTAAAAGCAATATATTTATGTACAGACATGAGACTGAAGGCTGAAATTAGCACCTTCTAGCTTACGATACAAAAACTGGGGATACTGATTGTATGCAAAATAATTACAGTGTAGATTCCATTGGATTGGATATGTGAGGTAGCATAATTGTTTTTAATAAAAAAATGACAAACTGAGTTCAAATTTCAGCTAAATCTGCTTATGTTCATTTAATGCACATGTTCAAGAGAAAGGCATGAATCCAACTCTCCCTTCTATAACATACTAATGAATCAATGTAATGGTTTTTAGCACAAATATCAGCTGAATCTTTTTTGCTGTACTTTCCTTAAAAAGTTGAAGGTATTTTTGTAGTTTGAAGAAAAAACATTATGGTCACTAAGTGCTAAATTTGGTGTATGTAGTAAAACTTTCCAAACAAAGTGAGTGAAATTTACTTTAATATTGTTCAGATCAAGCAGCTCCCAGTAAACAATGCCCGACTACTCAAGAAGCTTCACTTTTTATCTAATGCAAATATGTGGAGTGAGTCAAAAGCAAAATAAGTAGCAGAACTGTCCAATCAATAGAATTGACAAAGTTTGCAATAAAAAGAAAAGAACAAGGCAAAAAATAATATAAAGCAAGCAAACAATATCTATAAGGCAAAGCAACAGTAATATAGCAAAATGTTCACAAACAGAATTGACATATAAAAGCAAGTTGAGTCAAGCGAACACAGCATTCTGATTTCAAGACAAAACAGACCGGAACCAAATCAGATGAAACTGAGAACCACCAATTTTATTGGCTTGGAAAAAAATCCCAGCAGGCTTCTGCCTATAAATTTGCAATCATTCCTAGTGAAGATTGGAATCAACAATATCTGGCTATTATACATGTATAGTAAGAGCTCATTTGTTTGTTCAGTTTTATTTGTGTATTATCTTCATTGACAGTTAAAACTTTCCATTATTATTAGTGTTTCCAGCCAAACATTAAATTTGGTTGTCTGTGATTGAAGAACCCAATTTATGAGATTATTTATTGAAGTCAAATGACTCAGAATAGTGCAATGCTTTTAGACAAACTGTTGTCCTATTTTTTGGTTGGTCAATTGTACAGGGTTGCTCAGTTCTTTAAGGACATTTGCATGAATTTAGTAAGATATATAAGTCACAAAAGAAGAGCTTTATTTGAGGAAACACTGGCATGAAACCTCAAGACTCTTCTTGACACATTTACTTAACAAATCCTCTGTTAGAATTGATGACTGCTTCAATACGAGGTTTGAAACATTGACATGCCTGAATCAGATGTTCTTTATCTATATTGGACATTGTGATAATTATCATGGACATCAGAGATTTTATAGTATCAGGGGGCATTGATTGACTTCCCTCTTGACTATGCCTTACATAACAGCCCAACAGATTCAGATCTGGTGAGCTAGGTGGCCATATATTTGAGGGGACATGATCATGGACATTATAATATCCATTCTTGGGTCATCTTAATCTTATGAGATGGCACAAAGTCTTGTTGGTAGGTGCACAGGTTTAATTTATTTACTTTCTCTATTCAAGGCTTCTCAATACTCTCTAACACCCATTTAATAGTCAACAGTCTTGCCCCTTGAGCTTCTAGGAAAGAAGTGAGGAGGCAGGACACTTCCATCATTGCTCACAACTCCAAGAACAATCACAGTTGCCAAAAAACTTTGTATGCATGATCATGGGAACATCCTTAGGATCATTGCATAAACATCTGTGATTCCTTCGGGGTTGACCTTTTGGTTTTGATCAAAATTTTTCTTATCAGAGAAAAAACAAAGCATTCCAAGCTTTACACAGACCAGGCGTTGATTTTGCAGACATGAATTGGCCTCTCTGTATCACATGATTTGTATCAAATATCTTCATGCCCAATAGAGTGCCTTGAAACTTTGAGCTTCTTAACAACTCTGGGGTACTTATTAACACTTTTCTGCATCTTAAATATAAATTTGGATGTTCAGATTGTATTATGACCTTTATCAGGCATTTTACATTTAGCTACTGTTGTAGAATCCCTGTCAATGGCCTCCAGCTCTTTGTAAACATTGATAACAAATGACTGCAACTTTCAGGAAACAATCTCTAATCTTTGTCTTTAAGGTAGACGATTGCAGTATGCCTTTTCATTTCCTGAGTTAGTTTGATGTTTGTCATCTGAAAAGAAATGATAATGAGAACAAGTTCGAAAAAACGTTAGAGCGATTAAAAGATGTGTCTTCAAAGTACTGGCTAGTCAATTGTAATAGGTAAACTCTCACCAAAAAGTGCTGATTGATTTATTTTTTACAGCTTGTTAACCCTTTGCAGGTTATTTAAAGCCAGAAAATATTTTTTTAGATTATAAGAATTTTTAATGATAATAATGATTTACTGATAAAAGTCCTAATTAACCCATAGCTGGAGGAGAAGAGGTGGATTCATACCATTCCCAAAGGTATTTATGCATAAATGAATATAGCAAACATGACTGAAATTGGAACTCTGAGCCATTATCCATTATACTCCCCTTACATCTAAGCTTACAGCACCTAGTTTTCCCAAGCAGTCAACCATCTAGGTACTGACCAGGTTTGATATTGTTTAATTTTGTATGAGAATCGGTGTTTCAATGTCATATGACCGTAAGCCCAACCTCACCTGCTTCACCCTTATTTAGTTGTAAACAGTATAATAAGTTTTTATCAAGTTATTCATTGGTTCAAACCTTAGTGAGGCTCTTGGTAGTTTTCACTTATTGTCACTATTTAATATTTATAATTATTTTTTTGCAGTTATTAGACATCCCATTCAGATTTAATAAACAATTTTTCCTTTGGTTTTCTCCTGGTCTGACATTTCAAAATAAAACCTAATATCATTTATCATTTAATTTACTATCTCAAGGTTCTTTGGTCTTACGGTCATATGACATTGAAACACTGATTCTCATACAAAATTAAGCAAACTAAATAAATCCCAAACTCACTTGCTTTACCCTTATTTTTGCCTAAATGAGTTGACATGATGAACAGACCTTCAACTTTGTAACTGTAAGCTATGTGAATGGTCTGAGTTATGTTTACTTAAATGCTATGCATTCAAAAAGTGGAAAACAAATTACAAGCTCAAAAAGATACTTTTCAATCAATTTCTGTTGGTTTGAGTAAATTTAGTAACCTTTGAGATTGTATCCACCTAAAACAAATGAATGTAGGCCAACTCAAAAATGTCAATTTGTCTACACAAATCTATGTCACAACTCCCTCTACCCAAAGAGATAAGTGAAGAGGCTCCTTGAAATCAAAAAGCTCCTTGATAATTGAAGCTACAAGCCATCTTCTCTAAGTCAATAGCCTTGTACTTCCTTGAAAACTAAGTAATAACATTTACTGTTTCATAAAAAAATCATATAATAAAAATAATTTTAATTATATAAAAGAATAAAAAAAATAATTTTATTTATTTAAAGATTAATAAAAAGGTTAATATAAAAAAATAACAATGATACAATAAACTAGGCTTGTTCATTGCACTCTCTTTTGAGGGGAGTGTTTAAAAAATAATTATGTTATAGACAAGCGTATGGTTGCAAGAAAGAACAGCAGAAATAGATTTAATTTCAACAGGAACGTGAGGGTTTGGGACATACCTTGTGGTATAGTTCATAAGCCGGCTTTCGGATCTAGGTCAATCTCTCAAAGTAGTTCACACATGTTGACGGTGGTTGATGCTCCCCTGCTGACAGCTACTGGACATGACAGGTCTCTACCCTGGCCACCTGTTGAATATTCAATCACCCCCTACGAGGGTGTGCTGTAGCACAAGACCTTTTTATGTGGGCATTCCGAGCCCGTGGGCTCTGCCAAAAATATACCCCATTGAACCCGTATAAACGTGTTCAGGCCAGTCTACCTCATTGAAGGAGACTCCGCCGCCAGTGTAGCCTCCTTCAGGTTCCTCCCATCCATAAAGAGAGTTCAACCGAACAGTCGCTGCTGACTCGACTGACTGCCTGTTGAACTTTTTATAGCTTTTTTATGGCTTAACAGGCTCGAAAAAACGGCGGAGTATAATTAGGAGGAATCATTTTATTGGACGAAAAATAGAGCACTTTAAATATTATTTAATTTTCAATCGAACATGTGTGTTGGGAACATTTGTAAATGAAAAGATTTTTGATGGGGCTTTGTCCCGTTCACATCCGGCTTTGAGTATTTGCCTGTAAAAAAGATATGTCTTATTTTATTTTATAACAATTATAAAAAGAAAGCCAGGTTGTTAGTTAAAAAAATGACTTGAATAAATTTGATGTGTCAAATTTGTTTTTCAAATTTGTAAAAAAAAAAAAAATAAACTCCATTGTTATATCCTGAAAACCTGCCAAAATAAAGGCAAATGATACATTTTTAGTTCTTTAACTGATGAGGAAGATAATTGCTACATATGCAAATTTTATATTGGGATTGAATGTGGAATCAGTTTTGAGGCTATTTAAGAAACGGAGTTAGTTTTAAGGGACAAAAGGATTTTGGCGATTTAGACTATTTCTGATAACAACAATTAATTACACCAGCAGTGTTAAAAAGAAAGAAACAGATGAAAAGAATTCACAAAATTAAGATACTACAAAAAATTTTGAACTTTTTTGTTTGTTTAACAGCATATCAACACCTTATGGGTTATTTAATGCTAAAATTAATTTTCTTGGGAACTTGAGTAATTTTTTTCTTCTGCAAAAGTTTGTTGCTGGTAATTTATTTATTTATTTATTAAAATTTATTACTGGTATTTTTTTTTTACTATGAAAATGTATTTTTGTACTTTCAGTTTTTTGACTCCTCAGAACCTCCTGATCAGAGGCTGTTGCTACTGGATGTAGTTTATTGTCATACTAAAAAAGAAATTGAGATTTATATCAATATTGAAGTTTTAAAAACAGAATTATTATTTCAATTCCCAGTGACCAATGTGAATTTGCCAACCTTCTCAAAGATTTTGAACTGGTATGTATGAAAGTAAGTGAAAATTTAGATGAAAAATTTGTATGAGCCTAACATACTTTAATTTTTGAACTGGTTGTCATGCCTTAATAATAAAGTACACAAAGTAAATTTTTTCTGCAAACTTGGCATTCTGTTTTGTTTTTTATGTCATTGTAATAAATGCGTATTTCTTTAAAATTTCGCATTAGAGAATGAGTTTTGTTAGTTTATGGCTGCATTTTACACAATACTCTGGATAAGAGAGATGACATTCTATCTTCTCTACCACCAAAAATACTTTTAGTCTCTGTATCAGACACATATCTATTTCATTTCTATGAGCATTTGAAACGATACATCCATTGAAAGTCAACTTACATACAAAAACTTTATAAAAATGTGAATAAATTGAAGTTTTAAACTTTACATTTATTTGGAATCTATTTTCTATATTAAGAGGGATAATTCACTTTGAGCTTCTTCCAGCTGGCAAAGCAATAACTGTAAAGAAGTATTGCAACCAACTCATCAATCTCAAGAAAAATAGCCAATTTTGCCAAATCAAAAAGGTGTCAATTTCCATCATGACAACGCAAAACTGCTTGTGACAAAACAAACCTTGCTGAAGCATTAAAGATCTGAACAACAGTAATGTGGTGAAGTCTGCCACAAGCTGATTTATAAATATCAAATTTCATTATTGTTACTGTTGGGCAACTCATGGCCATCACATGCAATGTAGTTGTAACATCACTGATGCTTTTACTTTAGAGAGCAAGACAGCCAGATGAAGCCCATCTCTCTGCAAGTTGGTTTTGAATTCAGAATTTTTCTTTCCCTAGAATGATTACCACCAAGTGAGTCCAGTCAGACAATTTAATCAATAGGTGGAAGATAGGGGAGAAGAGATGGACTCATATCATATCCCAGTGGTATTTTTATGCTAAAGTTTGTTAACATAAATGAACTCGACCGGAATTTGAACTTATCTCGCCGGTTACTCTTTCTGAGTCGGTGACCGTTGTTAACCATCATGAATAATTTACGTATTTTTCTTTATCTGTGTATTTTCTGCAAAATGCAGATTTAAGCCTTGTGTTAAAATTCAAAGTGACTTCTATATAGAACGAGTGTGAATTGTGACTGTAAAAGAAACATCAACGTGAAAGGTTCTGGTATTTACTCATTCCCCCCACGAGAATGAGATGCGACACAAGGTCTGGTAATGCGTGGACCCGGACTCAACGTGAAAGGTTCTACATTGATTATAATGCAGCATGTTTATTTATACTGAACTATGACGTAGTAGGAGGAGTTAGCAATAGGGAGAGTATAAAAATGAAGGCAGTTTGGTGTCACTTCCGGTTTTGTAGGTCATATGTAGCGCAATAAATGTTTCCATGCACCAAGCAACTAGTTTAGTCTTCTGTTTCTCACGTACAGCATTTCAATAAGTAGTCTCTCTCTTTTTTTTTTTCTTCCCCAAATCCGTTTCCTTTACTTTACTGTTCATTCAATCGTTTGTCATCCTTTATTTTTCTTCCGCTTTATTTTTTTTTATACAAATTAAGTGAAATGGCTTCAAGTCCTCTTTTAATGAGATTGTTGTCTGCTTCGGTAACTTTATCTCACCGGGCAGGCATAATTATCAGGGATATTTTAAAGACAGGAGATCTAGGAATTCACGACAAGGTAAGAAATAGATTTTTATTGTTTGTTTATTAAAATAACAGTAAAAAAATCATAGTTTTATTTTGAAAATTCCTTCATTGTAATTCAAAATTTAAATAAGAAGGTCCTATTTTTATTTTTCATTCAAATTTAATTTAATTAAAAATTTGTGTAGTTTTAGCGAAATTTAACTTTTTTTTTTTTTACTCAACTCTTTCCTTTTTGTTTATCTTAATTTTCCTATTTTTCTGAAATTAACTTTTTTCTCTTAACTAGGGTTCAATTTTCAAAGTTTTATTTTTTAATGTTCAGTACAAACAAAAAAATAAATATCTGTATCTTAATTTTACAATTGTACTACTTACGACAAAATAAAACCATTTTAAAGATTGAAAAATCAATAAATAATGAATTAAAATAATTTCCATTTATATTGAGAAAGTAGTGTAAGGATCGTAACAGCAAAAATTAATAAAATTTATGAATCCAGACAGAAAGATACAGTGATAATTTTTAAAGTTTTTGTTTTTATTTTTTTTTAATTTTTAGTTACTTAATTTAGTTTAACTTCAAACAGTTTATTAAATTTTAAACTTTAAAAACAACTGCAAATGGTGTTCGCGGACACAGACTAATTTTTAAATCTTATTCTAATTTTTATTATTTGTTGGAAAAAAGAAAGAACAATGATGAGACCTACAGTTGTCTAAGTTTACTTTTAATTTATTTAATTTTTGGGGTTAAAAAACTGAAACACAATAGACGAGGAAAATATCCGTACTGTGTTTTGTTTTTAGACGATAATTTTTTTCTTCATTAAGTTTTTTGGGCCTTTTTTCATCATGGTATGCTCTTTTTCGGCGAATTAATGAAGTGTTTAAAAACTTTAAAACTTGTTTATGAGGGGACACTGAAAATCTCTCGGCCCTGACAAAGAAAGAAATTTTTAAAAAAATTATTTATTTTTTTTTTAATCTTGGATATTTTGGAAGCGGATTGGACCGAGATGTTTCCAGCAGCGCTCACATGCCGAAATAACACCTTTCTTTTGTATGTTAATAATAGCCCGAGACCCATTTTTAAAAATTCTATAGTGAAATAATTAAATTACTTACTACATACGGCCACCGCCCCACCCCCTCGCCTCCCTCCACAGTTTAAAAAAAAAAAAAGGCAGATTTTTATTCTCTCACTGAATTCCATCAAAACCACCTATTTATTTTTGTAAAGAACTCACAAAAATATGGCACCGTTTGAAATGTTCAAATATGGCAACACAGTCTCCAAAATAAAAAATGTTACTGAAATAACGGTGGCGTAAAAAGAATACCCGCTTCGCAACACAGTCTCCTGTGCTTTGTGATAGCTTGCTCTTTTGCAGAAGAAATGAAGTTTCGTTCGATTAACGGTGGTCGGGTTTAGATGATTTTTGTTCCATGACAATGAGACACCTTGTGAGGATCTCTAATGAATTGATCAGCAAGACGAGCTTGTTCTGTAAAAGTAAAACCATTACGCTCTAGTCGTGTCCCAACAAACAAGCTTTACTTTTTTGTTCACGTATCAGCCCACAAATGCAATAAAAACACACATGCACACACAAATACAAATAAAGCAACATTACTTTAAAAAAAAAGAAGTGATTATTTGGCAAGGTTCACATGACTTGCTAAACAAAAAAACTTTAATTCATTTTTTTTTTCTATTTAATTAGTTTTTTTTTTTTTTTAAGGACTTTAATTAAAAAAGAAAGTAAATTCATTCAATCTTTTTCAGTAAAAAGGAAAATACACATCTGATAAGAAATTTCATTTTTTTTTTACTTAAAATAAAACTTATACTAAAAAAAAAAAAAAAAAAAAAAATGACATCTACTTCTTGGACAAAAAATGTCAGTGACATTTCCTGAATAATGCAAAACGTAAATTGGGCTGTTTCAAATATTAAGAGATGTTCAGTTTTTTTAACCCAGTGATTCTCATGTCTCCAGTTTGTCTTTGAATTGGGAAACAAAAAAATTCATAAATGACTAGACTGCCCGTGACTCACTGACAGTTCAGGTTATAAAGCATTAAAGTTGATTTCAGTATTAAGATATTGTCTGTTTGAAGAAAGTTGAAATAAAAAATACTTATGCTTTGTTTAAAGAAAGTAGAAATATAAATGTGGAAAGAGAGATGAAAAGCTGTCATAAATGTTACCATTTATGTCCAAAATCTGGATGTTAAATTAGGTCATCATCTGAGATGAACTGGTGTTAATGTCACTGTCAATGTATACACACTATTTCCTTCTCTCCCTCCTCCCTACACGATAATAAAGTTAACATCTTTCTTTCCCCCCACTCTCTGTATGATACAAAGTTCACACAGTTTTATAATTATATAAGATTTTAGATAGTCATAAAAATAATCTTTTGAAGATTTGACCATCCATGTGGTCTTAATACTTCTGGATGAGGAGATGTGCTGAGATGACCTCAGCAATTATCTATATAAGCAGGGAGAGGCAGGAAGTTGGAAAAGTGGGTCCAGCTGTGAGAGAATTAGGTAGGTGACCAGAGGAGTTGAAGCTACCCAGATAGAAGGACTGGTAGTAAGGAATCCAGAGTCACTGAGTCCAGAGGCCAGTGAAGTTAGGGAGGTAGCAGTTCAGCTGAAGGAAGGATCCCATGATTAAGCGAGAAATCATATTGCTGTTACTTCCCAACCAGAGAGTCTTGAAAAACAATTTTCTTCATTTTTGTTTGTTTGTTGAAAGCAATCATAGCCAAGAAGACAAACCTGTGCACATAGCGAGTTGGGAGTATATGCAAATACACTCAACCTTGGATGTTATCACAGGTGCAGTGAACAACGGATGATTGGAGTACATTGTTACAATTATGCTCATGAATGGTGTCCCTGTGAAGATGGTTCAATGTTAAAACGTCGGTTCCTGTATGATCCCCAAAGTGGTCATCCATCTAGGTACTGAAAGGCTTAATGTTGAGCTTTTCAGTACCTTGATGGATGACCACTTGGGAGTACCATTACACCACCCACACGTCAAAGCTTACAGAAGCTTTGATGTGTGGGTGGCGTAATGGATAATGACTCAAAATTGTTAATTGAAGAGCAGTTTCAATTTCTGCTGGGTTCATTGCACAATTACTCTTGGGAAAGGTATGAATCTACTTTTTTTCTCCCCTAAGCTATGGGTTAATTAGTAAGACTTGTATCAATAAATAATTATCTAAAAAAAAAAAAAAAATTCTTACAATCTAAAAATATTTTTTGGCTTTACATGATCTGAATAGGATTAAGCCATAGAAAATGAATTAACTAACCAATCAATTTAGTTTCACTTGGCTTACTCTAATGTCAAAGCATTGAGTATTGGCTAGTGTGTATCGCCCAATCGGATTTTACACTGTAATAGATACCTTAAGCAAGATCTCTGTTAGGTTTCAGCCAAAGTGCTTAACTAAAACCATTCTCGTATACAAACAAGAATTGTCCAAAGATCCTGTAATAATGGACCATACAACTAATGAATGATGTGTAGTGAATTTTTTTCTTTTTTTTTTTTTTTTTTTTTTTATGGTAATGGCAGCAGTCACATTTTCTCTCCCAAATCTTTAAGCATTTACAATTCATTAAAATAGCAAGAAGATTGCTTCAAGTGTAACTGACAAGAGTAGCTTTCTCTATCAACATTGTGAGATTTTACAAGTATATCATACTCTGAATATATAACTCTGTACTGTTGGGTAATTTAAATTTTTACTTCATTTTTCTTAATTTGAAGTTTTATGTGGGTGTGTGAACCATGTGTTAAGCCTGAGACAGGTGGGATGCTAACTTTGATAAAATGAGCATTTTAAACTGTATACAATTTTTCTTGTGTAGTCTTTCAGGTGCTCTTTAGTCCTGCTACCAGTTATTGTAATTGTTCATGTTCACAAAGCTGTGACTAATGTTATTTTCTGTAATTGTAAAATTGAAAGCTGTTTCTAATTAATTCTTTTCAAAGGAACTTTTTGTAGTAGGAGTTGATCTTGTCACAGATGGCAGTTCAATGAATCTATTTGGGAAAAGCCTGCAAAAAAATGGTTAGCTTAGTTCTTTTGATAACTACATTGAATCAATAGCTCCATCTTCTGCAAGGAAATTCGGTTCACTGCGTCATGCCAGAGCGTTTTTCTTGTCAGAGTCTATCTTACACATCTAAAAATCTACTATTCATCCATGTATTGAATATTGTTGTCAAACTGGTCTGCTGCCCCTGCTATTCATCTCGAGGTTCTCAACAAAATCCAAAGAAGGATCTGCAATGTTATCAGTCCTGACTTGACATCTTGACTTCAGTTACTTTCTCATAGATATGATGTGGCTTTCCTCTGATTCTTTTACAAATATTTTCATGGCAACTGTTCTGATGCACTATCTTCCCTGATGCCCTGACAAAATGAATTTAAGCATACTACTAGATTGACATCTAGGCTCCGCCCTTTTACTGTTGAAATAGTTAAATGCAACTGTCACTTCTACTCCAGCAGTTTCTTTTCTCGCACTTCACAACAGTGAAACTCCCTTCCTCTTACTTGCTTCCCTGATAACTCCAATCTTCAAAAATTTAAATGCAGTGTCAATCGTCATTTTCTGTCGCCTTGATCCCCGTTCTTCTTTTATCCTTTCCTCAATCCCCCTCAATACAGTCTTTTTCCTCACTTTCACTCTCTGTAACCCCCCCCCCCGCATGCTAGTGGCACTTTGACCTTGCTTGGGGTGAAATGCTTAAAAAAAAATAATTTCAGACAAATCTGAATTCAAGGAATGACTTATTAATATTAACATTTACAAAACAAAACTTAATCATCTAAGAGGTCATCTTTCTATAGAACCATTAACTACAGAGTACTGAGATGTTAGTGTTTTAATTAACCAATGTAACTTACATGTGCAACTAGTCACTCTCCTGGAGGTTAGCATTAGCCATGTAGATGAGATTCAGAAAGGTATAACTTATTCATCTGAGAG